TAGAAGGGTAAGCACTTGTTTTTGCTCTTGTTGATTTAAGATTGGAAAAGCAAGAGTACAAGCTCCGTAAACAGTGATTACATATTTGTCAAGTGAGGCGAGATATGCCCTCACCTCCTGTGCAGAAATGGTCTTCATCGGTTCAGCGGTGGACCTTTGCGAAGCTCCGATCTGGCTTTTGCAACCTCCATGAATATCAATCTGCCGTCCAGAAACTAAGAGGGCAGTTGGTTCTTGATCGTCACTGACTGACCTCATCTAATCGAAAATGGACTGCATTAACTCTACTCATGGAGTGGTGAAGCTTTACCTTCCCGTGCATTTGATAGAACTCTATTTCTAGGGTTCTATCGATTGTGAGAGGTGATTGGGAATTTAGGGATTTGAGGATATAATTGGGGAAGAACAGAATTAGGGATTAGAAGATAGAAGTTGGGATTGAGATTGAGAATTAGAAGAAGGAGAAGAATAGAAGATAGAATCGGCCGAAGCCTTGGAGGGCTAGAGAACGAGAAATTAGGAGATAGAGGATTAGGGTTTTGGGAGGGATATTTTCTGAATAATTGTTCTTGCTTGATTGATAATGAAACCCAGATTACATATTTATAGGAAAGATAGGAGAACCTAATAATAAACCTAATTCTACTAAAAGACTACTATCCTTATTTGTAAATATCCTAATAATAATAATAATGATAATTATAATAGAATCACGAAAACGTGTTTCTATCATCTCCTCCCCCTTGAGACCAACCTTGCCCTCAAGGTTGATCAACTCGGCCCACTCTTCCCTTTCTTCTCGCACAATCCGCGGTCGGCTCCTCCATTTCTTACGCTTCCTTTTCTTCCAATTTGCTCCACTACTCGAATGAAGCCCACTCCAGCGACTCCGACTCCAATGGCCTCTTTCCTATCTACGTGGCTCCTGTCGCAACCCTGGCCAAATGACCCTTCACTCTCCTTCTCAAACTTCACAAAGTAAGAATGAGAGTGCTTCTTCTTCCAGCCCATCATCTAAGTCTATTAATTCTTCTTCTTCTTTGAAGCCCATACCATAATAAAGAGATTCAACTAAACAGCCCAATTGATTTCCAAACCTTTTATTTTCAAGGAACCCATCTTCTCCTTCTCCTTGAGATCTGTTGGGCTTTCTTTGTCTCGGCCCGCAACTTAACCCTTGTTTGGCATTTACAAGTCCTAGCTGCGGCCCAACAACCTTCATCTTGCTAGCCAACTCGTGGCCCAAACCGCAACAGCCTTCCTCAACCATTGAGCCTCTCGAATCAAGCTCGGATTTGTACAAGAGACACCAGATTAGTGTGCTCATTAGGGCTGAGCATGCGGGCGGATCATCCGCGGGTTTGGGCCGACCCACCCGTATTTGACCCGAATTTCGTTAAGTGGGTGGGTCTGTGGGTGGGTGACGGGTTGCGCTGGGAGCCATCCGCCGGGTGGTGGGTGGGTTGTGTGTGGGTGGGTGGGTTGTTGGCGCTAGAGAGAGGAGAGTGGAGACGTTAGATATAAACTCGGACTGCTCCTGGAGTTTGTACTGGGAAGTGAAAGGGCCAAACTATTGCACGATGAATGGACTTTCGGAAGAAGTTATAAAGAGATAAGAACAAAGATAAAAAAGCACAAAATTTAAATTTAAATTGAAAAATGCAATGACACAACACGTAGTAAAAGAAATAGTTTCTTCCATGTTAGCCAAATTCACCTAAGCGAAAATTAAAGAGTGCATGAATTTTAAAATGGATAAAATTATATGAAACTCTACTATGGAAATTGAAGCATTAAGCACCATAAAATATATATGGTAGATTTAGTGGGCTTGTTGATCATGATGTAAAAGTCATTAACTTTTCAGAGTTTAACTTAGTGTATGTTTTGTATCAAATAGAAACAACAAATTCGTTTAGTGTAGTTGGTTATGATTATTGTCTTTGTTTGAAGAGACCCAAGTTCAAATCTTGATATTGATATTTTTATTTGAAATAAATAATTAATTGTAAAGACAAAAATGTCCTTCCTATTTTCACTCTCGTTACAGAAAATTTAAAATGGAGAAAATTACACAAAACTCTACCATATATTAATGAAGGATAATTGTTCTTGCTTGATTGATAATGAAACCCATATTACATATCTACACAATAAATAAAAGCCAAATGAGAAAACTTGAAGCCCCATTTCAAAATTCCTGCATCTAGAGTGAAAGTAGGAAAGACATTTTGGTCTTCACAATTACTTTTTTTTATTCATTAAAAAGACACTTACTAGGATTCGAACCATGATCACTTTATAGAAAAGTAAAGATCATAACCAATCACACTAAGTACATTTGTTGTATCTTTTTAAATTAAAAACATATAATCGCAGAGAGGAAAAAACCCTTTCCCCATTTCAAATTCCCTGCTCCAGGAGCGTTTGTAGGAAGGGTAGAATAGGGAGTGTCGATTTTTTTCTTTTTTCTCTGTGGAACGGGCCAACTTACCGTACACATGCGGATTTAAACGGGTGAAGAAGTGTCAATTTTTTTATTTAAGTCATTTTATTTCTCCGTGGTGGTAAAATATATATGAAAAGGCAAAACAATACTCCTTTTTATTGCTAAAAAGAAAAAAATTTAACAATAAACTAATGTATGGATTCTAATGGGCTAACCGCTAATCATAAAATAAAAGAGTTGAATGGGCCTGACCTACACGGGATTTGCCCATCAAGTAAAACAAATGAACATCATGGGTTTGCCATTCTAAAACAAGTTATTTTCTCTAGCATAATATATATTATGCTATTATCTTAGTGGCTAAAATATAATGTATTTTAAAGTTATTCAATGGTTCAACTTCGACCAACCCAATTAGTCCAATTTTTATCATTTCAAATATATATTATGTAATTATTTGATATCATAATGATTAAATTATAGTGTATATTATAGGGAATCGTTTGGTATTTGTTAGTAAAAAACTAAACAGAAAGATCTATTTGGTTATTTGTAACATTAAAACGATGCTAAACATTTTCAGTTTCCTTTCGAAATTCTATAGTTTTATTCCCGAATCAGTGATGTGCAAATGGCGAATTGCACTCATCTCTTTTCTTTCATTATTTTTTATTTTCAAATAGAAAGTTTAAAAGTAAAGAATAATTAGAGTTTGGCATGAGTCGGTCAAATAGGCTGAATTTCAAGTTTTGGCCCGTTTTGATCAAGTCTAATTTATAATCACATAGTTTCCTGATACCCGATAAAAATCTCAATCCAAACCAGTTTGGCAGGTGAGTCCGTGTTTACCACTATTTTCTAGGGATAAAGGAACGGTGGTTCCTATCCCAAATCGTGTTGTTCATTCTCGATTTCTTTAGATTCTATCATGGCTTGGCAAAAAACTAGAAAGCACAATGATGACAAGATGAAAGTTTTATAAAGCAAATTAATCGGCCAACGGGCCGAGTAAAAACTAGCAACGATTGTGAGATGCTCATTTCCCGAAAACCGGCGGCATATGCGATTTTTTATTCGATTTTCTGGAATTCGGTTTCTATAAAACATACTCCACCTCATCATATTACCTGAAACAATATTGTTTCACAAGGTAACAGGTACTTGATTTTGGTTCATAAGGCTGATTTTTGATTCGTTGCATCATTCATGTCTCTTTCCTACTAAAATTCACTATTTTTATCACGTGTTTCAAAAAAAAAAACTATACAACAATAAGCTATACACCCCATTACATTATCAAATTTCATACCTCACCTTCCTCCGGCCAAATGGCCGGGGCCCACGCTAGTTTATAAAAAAGATAGGATAATGTAATAATAAACATAATTCTACTAAAAGACTACTATTCTTATAAATAAGTATCCTAATAATAATAATAATAATTATAATAGAATCACGAAAACGTGTTTCTATCTGTTCCCTGATGGCATTCTGGGATTCGTCTGCAGTGGCATAACGAAGGAAGGCGAAGCCTGTCGGCCTTCTTGCAATTTTGTCCATCACGAAATTGACTGTAGGACAACCACAAGTTCTTCTATAAGAGGCCGAAGGTTAAAAGCTGACGAGAGAAGAAAGATCACTGAATTGATTTTGACGGTAAAATTCATTGTCATTATCTTCTACGAGTTGGCCGAAATTCTTGGAAGCATTCTGCATAGGGAGAGTAACAAAACTCGAACCCACTAATACCCACCCGACCGAACCCGGTTAACGTGGGTAAAACCCATGTTGATGGGTTTTGGGTCGGGTTCGTGTTTAAACCCGCTACACTATTCATCGGGTTGGGTTTGGGTTTAGGTAAACCCGTCCCATGGGTACCCGTCCACACACATATAATTACTTTCCTGGTATATTTAATATTCAAAATAATATATCTTCCTTAAACAACTAATATTCTATATGTTTGTGGAGACATGTATAATTTGTTCTTTCTAATTGTTTAGAATGAAGTTGATATTATGAAGTGGAGAGTGAAGAAACTTAGTTGACGAGGAAGAAGCTTTCAATTAATTCTATTGTTTATATATGTTTTTCTTTAATTTTGAATAATTTGTATTGATCATTTGCGCTTTGCTTGTATGCTCTAGATTGGTGTTTTTTGTATGATTAATTTGTATGAGAAAATTGATGTTAAACTTTTATTTTGAAAAAAACTTGTTATTGTAAATTTTTACCACAAAAACCCACGGGTACCCATGAACCCGCGGATACCCAGCGGGTTGGGTTTGAGTTTTTCAAACCCAACGAGTTTTACCCCGAGTTTTTTTGGCGGATAAATCCATGGATTTGGGTTTGAGTTTGACCCAACCCCACCCATTGCCATCCCTAATTCTGCAGACTCTCCTTGGTTGTGCGGAAAGATAGACTTGTAGAAGATTGGCCCACGCTGCAAAGTCAGTGTAGCTAGCTACAGGCCTACAACAGTGTCACAGGAGTATCTATTATAGAGAACAAGCAAGAAAGACAATTGCGACTTGCGAGGATCAGCCGCCTGTTACAGCAGCACTTGAAACCGATGTTCATACATACATAGACTACTCAAATAACCATAGGTACTTGTAGTTAACACCCAGTTATTGGGGTGAAATCCCGAATCATAACTGAATTACAGGATCCGAAAATCATGTAACAAGTATAACAAAAAAGTTCCATTGCTGACTAAATCTGTGATAGAGGAGAAGAAACCAACTGTAATAATGATCTCAGGAAGCTGCTTCTTGGCTCTCTCCCAAATAACTCTGCTACTTCCTCACCATAATATACATCACAACACGAGGGCTGTGATAGTCAGGATGCCACTCCGACTGCTCGACACGCCCAACCTTGAACACCTTCATGGCTTCCTCCAAGAAGTACTCCAACACTGCATCTGGAGTATGAACAATGTCTTAGTCTCAACAACAAAAGGTGCTGAGAGGATGCCTAAATAAGATGCATGGGTGGGCAAGATCAGGCTTACCGTTCCTGAGCTCCCCGGCTATGCATACTGTCGTTTCGGATCCACAGAGCTTTAGGAGTGTGTCTATCAAATCAACCACCGCCCCTTCGCTATACACCACGTCTGATCCCACAACTGAAACATCATATCGCACAAAACTAATGACGGTTCAGATGTAGGATTTTGGAAGTGATGGATTGTGCAACTCATGGATTTAAAAGAAGCAATGGATTGTGATTTTCATACATACAATGACATAAATACTCTCGCCAACATAATTCTCTCCATTATGTACCTTTTTGGAATTGACAAAAGAAAGGACAAAGTAGACTAATATGGACTTCTTCATAGACCATGGTCTAAGGTTGAGTTTTTAAATTCTGTGGGTGACCATTATCGATTTCCAACTTCATGGACTCGGTAGGTGCTCATGGAAGCCACTAGTTGCATTTTCAGAATGAAAATTTCGGCAGTTCATACATGGTAGAGTACCGTCAAAGTCATAACGGCTTTTCGAGAGAGAAGGGGCAAAACCGCAAAAGTTGGTTCAGCTGTATCAATAACCTGCTGCTACACACTAATATTGGGTACTACCACCTATTGCAACTTGGGGAAACTATACGGAAGCTCTCTTACCATAATCAGGTAAAGGTTGAGTCATGCACCGATCAGGTTCGTCACCCCAAGTAAGCTCCTCCACGACTGCAGAGCCACGTAGGTGTTCATGTCCCAAATTGCTTTCTACATTCTTTTTGAGCAGTCTCAGTCGATCAGGGAGATCAGTGAGTATAACTTCAGCACCCAAAAGAGATGCTATGCAGCTGCAAATCAAATCGATTTTGGCGTCAGTAAGGTTATGAGCGACTGATATAATGCTGCTTCTTGAGCATCTTTTATTTCTTCCTTGTAAAGAACTCGGACATGGAAAGGGATTGCAAGTCATGTCTTGCGTTCTGACTGTACATAGTATTAGGTTCTCTATGCAAGCCCCATACCTTTACTCCCAAGAAAGAAACAACTAGGAAAAACGAAGCATAAAAAAGAGGATGTTATCTTTACCCTACCAATCCACAGCCTGAACCCAACTCGATAGCCTTCTTTCCTTGAAGAACAAGCATCTTCGAATCAACCGCATGTTCCAAGAACTTGCCTAATACAATGCCACTATCCCACATAACTGAGCCTGTTACTCCCGGTGTACCCTGTAATGCAGAATGCAATTCATGGTAACAAATTCAAGGCATAAATAACAGTAAACCAGAACCAAGATCAAAATATAACATTTCGGCCGCTGTATCGAATCTAACAAATAAGCGCTGACAGAGACTATGTTTTCTTCAAAGAATGAAACAAAAAACCATTGAGGTAAAGGGATGACCATAATATGAAGGCAAATGGTGATAGCTATACAAGAAAGAAAGAAAAAAAATATGGAAGCAAGTACCAGTGAAGAAGGAGACTGCAAAATGGAGAGGGAGTGACCACAAGCATCAAGGCTGAGTTGGAGCGAAGACTGAGCAACATAAGCATTCGGTTTGGAGAAAGTGGGCTGTTGGATTCCCCATAACAACATGATTTCTTCTGCAGCAGACTCTTCATCATCCCGCAACACCCTCACATTCCCTTCGTACAAACCTAGCATTCCCAAATTCAATTCCTCTTCTTCTTGTTCCAGGCTTTCAATAGCCTGATTCTCCATGAATTATGACTCTCTACCGACCAAACTATTAAGTAATGGCCATTGCTGACTGCAAAGGAATAGACAAAATCACTAGATAGCTGCCAAACAGAGTTCCATCAACACAAAACATGTAAAGTTCAATACTTTCTTAGTCATCCCTTTAATGGCTATTCCTACAGAGAAAGTTCTAAGCTTTATGATATGATAACTTATACCCATTTCAGCAGACGCCATGTCAATTACAAGACGCCAAAAAGAGATATTAATCATCCATTGGCCGCATGGATTCGACTACCATGAACAATCCATCACCAGGGGGAAATAAACAAGCGAAAGCATCAACAATAAGAAGGAAGATTAACAAAACGAAGCGATTCGAGAACAGAACTAAACATTACATTTCCAGAGCATGAAGCAATTTCTGCTTAGCTTTCTTTCTTCCTTCCCAGAACGAACGTCCAATTCCCAAAGTTCCAACTTTGCACCTGACCAACATCGTCTCGTACAGTCAGTCTCCCGAAGAAGGCTAAATCTGAAGCTCGAGCTGGGCCACGCAGGTTCTTCATCCTCCAGCCCATGGGCCATGATCCATGCGGACAAAGCCTTGTGTGTAGTCATCTGACGGCCACAATCTCTCCAGTACATCCAACGGTTGGCGCTTCATTTTGGCCGAGAGTGGAGACTGGAGATCCGAATTCCGATTCCGAGCTCCACAGTCTGCGTCCTCTTCGCGGCACAACAAGCAGAAAAAGCCAACCTGCGATCTAGTCTTCGCCGCCCCTTCTTGCATTCCACCGAGGTATGACTGAAATATGTCGTTACTGATAATCTCTTCCTATCTTTCCGTCTCTTCTGGTTATCGATCTTATCTAGAATTGGGGCGTGGGCAGGAAATTTGTCTTTGGTTCCTTAAAAATCGAAGCTTTTCTTCTCCTGGGGTTTAGGGTTCTTAAACTGAAGTGTAAACGAATGTGGGTCGCCCCTGGTTTTCTGGATGAGGTCTAAAGAGGATGTAAATAAAGCAGTGAACTTCCAATCCAGACCTAAGTGAACCAAGACTCTGCTGTGCGAAGTTTAAGTTTGAGAGACTAGGGTTAAGATGATAATCATGGAAAGTAGAGCATATAGCTTCTAGTCTGCCTATCAGCTAAGCTGATCCGTTCTTTGCTCTGTTAGAATTCGGAACTAGGGAGATCTCTTTTCCCATTAGGGTTCTTGCTTGGGTATTTCCGTATCTGTTGGAATTTTTCTCAAGTGGTGTAGACTTCTATATTGGATCGAAAAACAGTGGTCATTCTGCTGGATTCTGTAGACATTCTTATCATGTTTCTGAGCTGCCGAAGCTTGAGTTCTCTGTTCTTTAGAACTCAGAATAGAGAATACTTTCCTTGCATGCACAAGTCTTGAGTTTCTATTTAGAAATTCCTTTTCTTGTTGTCTTTCCATTTGTCTGTCATTCTCTGGAAGCAGATGAATGAAGCTTTCTTCCTTGGGAATTCATTTTTAACTTCCTTTTACCCTCTCTTCTTTGGCAGACAAGACAACTAACAGATAAGGTTAGAGGATGGCAACAATGAGGAATCTGAAGATCAAGACGAGCACAAGCAAACGCATAGTGAAGGAGCTGCACTCATACGAGAAAGAGGTGGAAAGAGAGGCCGCCAAGACATCCGACATGAAAGACAAGGGGGCTGACCCTTACGATCTGAAGCAGCAGGAGAACGTGCTGGCAGAGTCGCGGATGATGATTCCAGATTGCCATAAGCGCCTCGAGGCTGCACTGGCTGACCTGAAGGCGACTCTCGCCGAGCTGGAGGAGTCAGGTGAGACAGAAGGGCCTGAAATCAATGATGCTAGAACCACTGTTTCGGAGGTGGAGCAGTTGTTTGGCAAAGGAGATGATGATGCTTAGTATTAACAAGAAGCTGCTGTTTGGGGTAAAGATTTGCTTATGAGGTGATTCCCTATGGCCTTTCTGGCTCTCCAGTTGTCGTTAGATGGATTCAGAGAGTTTCTAACTACTGGATTGATGATGTATGGACTGTTACTCTATGCATCTTCTGTTCTGGTTTAAACAAGAAATGTTTTGATGGAACTCCTAGTCTTTGTCTCTTTTTCCTCCTATCACTGTCTGTCAGGATCAGCTTGTGCTCAATTGAAAGACAACGTTCTCGTATAAAAAAGTCATGTTTTCCTAACCAATAAATCAGTTGAATCTATTTGCCACTGGTTGAACTTGGTATAACTTTTTGAAACTGGCTGGAATATTATCAGTGTGATTGTTTCAGCCTCTAAATAAAATCACTCCGTTACAACTTACAATGAATTTAATTAATCAGAAAATAATTTTGCGATTGAAGTCATGAATTTGAAAGTTAAATGTTTATATTATTTGTTGGATTCAAGTATAAACGTTTGCGGTGGCTACTTCGGTACATTCACTTTTTTGGGTGCACTGAACGCACCCATTTTTTTTGTTTCATCTTAACCATTAGATATATCTAACGGTTACATTAATTTGATTGATTTATAATTAATTATTATCTAATAAACTATATTATATTTATTAAAATAATTTATACTTAATGATAATTGCAATTAAGTCCCTCACTTAACCCTCTGTTCGTCGTTTCTTTTCCCCTCTGCCACCGTCAATACTTTCCTCGGCATTAATCACTTGCGGGCTTAAGTAAAAAATAGAGAGACTTAAGCCCATAAACATAATTGCAGGGAGAAGAAGAGCCTTTCTCGATCAAACACAACTTCTCCTGTGTTCAACCTTCTTCTGTTTCTGTTCTTCTAACAGCAGCAACGGTTCCAATGAGCATTTCATGTACTTCGCTATAATCAGTAAAATTGACACCTGAGTATCGCCCCAGAGTCAATCAGCACTAGAATAAATTAGTTTCCCCCTTCGATTTCCATTTATCGATCTCAAGCCTTCCTCTACATATCAAACCGCACGAGCCGCACAAACCACCAGGCAATGACTCATTTCAATTCTGTTTGATCCGGCGTTTCCTCAATTTTTGCAAGCAATCTGGTAGTGTTGTATCATCCACGATCCACGTCCTTATCATGCCGACTGGTTCTCCACGATCGTCCTTATCATGCCGTATCATCCCATGTCATTCCCCGTCGCCGGCGGCACCATCGGAGCTTCTGGCTCATCGTCGACTCCAACATCAACCGGGATGGTTATTCTAAAGGTGGATGGATCGGAGACACCACGACATTAGTTCTCACTTGCCGGAGTCGACATCATCGCCATCCACCTGAGATTGCGCGGCCGTCGCCGGGCCAATGGGGTCTTCGATCGGTTTGGGTAGGAGCGGCATGGGGAGAAGAAAGGGAAAAATTGGGCAAGTAAATAAAGATGAAAGGCGGAATTTGGGATAAAAAGTTAATAACTCACTCATTTGAGTTTTCCCGGATTAGGGGCTTAACTGCAAATATCAATAACTATAAAACTGTTTTAATAAATACAATACACTTTATTAGTTAATAATTAAATATATTTTTTTTTTAATAATTGTGAACCGTTAGATATACTGAATGGTTGAGATTAAACAAAAAAGTGGGTGCGTTCAGTGCACCCAAAAAAGTGAGTGTATCGAAGGCATCACCAAACGTTTGCATGTTAATGTTAAATGTTGTATTTATTATTTTGTTTAGAACGGTGTATTTTATTTAAAGATAAATGTAGATTGTCTTCAAATATATTTTTATATATTTTTTGTTAGTCAGGCATGAACAAATAAACAAGTTGTATCCTGATCTAATCATAACACTTACTAAATCGGTGTAAATATATAAATTGACACCCTTGTTAAATCTTACATTTCTCAGTTCTATGAAATGAGGGCAAATAGACGGATTCGACCCAAGCATGCCACAAGCCGCAGTCTAATAGTGACCATGAGTGGACGAACAAGGGATTCACCTAATAGTAATACCACTAACTTTGAACCTAAAGGTTTTAGGTTCGAATCTCTTAACTAATACCTTATTCACAAAAGATAAACCTATATAACCATTATCCCCTATAAAAGAACATATTGACATGAATTGTGGATTTAACATTGGAAATGAGAAAAGAAAACCCATCAAAGCTTTTAAATTGCTCGAAAACACTGTCGAGATAGTGAGCGTATAATCACAGAGAAAGAAAACACACGCAGCCGCATAAATCAGCTCGATACTTTTACTACTTACGCGTCGCAAAATTGTCAGTCCAACGTGAGTGACATTGTAACATGGCGCCATGAGTAAATATTTTCATGAGGCATGTCAACACCATAAGAACAATGCTATCGTAACAACATAACAACGGGGCTTCGCAGCATTTCTCCTGCGATGATTGCTTGTTCATTCCTCAATCCTCTTCCTCATCAGAACTTTCATATGCTAAACCTAGTAAGCTTTTAACAGGATTTCCCTCTGCTTCAAGTTTTGTTTGCTTACTACTTTCACAGTCCGATTTGAATGATGTTGATACATCAGACTCTTCTTCTTTCGTCTCCCGGCATTTCTCGTGCTTCAGATCTTCTGAACCATGATTGCTTGAAACTCTGGGACGTTTGGGTTTAACTTCCACCACTTTTTTCAGTAGATCCTGCTGCCTATGGAATGAGATAATTGTAATTTTTTAGAGACTACAGTAAGACAAGTAGCGACGTGATAAGATTGACAGATACCTTATGCCACTCTTCGGTTTGGGCTCCACGCGAAGTGGTAATGGAACTGTTGCTGGTGTAGTATCTGCCAAGGTTGCAGCTTTGTGTGAATTAGTTAAGGATTACATATACATACAAATAACCTATAGCTGCTCCACAGATTAACTAGACCTAGACCAGCAAACAAAGAATCCTTACTCATGCAAGATCTATGCACAAGTGCAATAGATAAATTCTGGATGAGAAGCATAATGAGATCGAACACCACAACCATGATGGAAAATACATCATATATTGCTTTTAAGGTAAAAGAAGAAAGGAAGACCAATGTCAACATAAGCTACCAAGCAATCATTGAACTTCTGAAATACCACAAAAGAGCAAATGCCATATCTTGGTATCAAGAGTTTACATCAGTAAATCGTTAAGCAGACTTGGTAATACAAGGAACGACAATGGCTTTAAAGCATTATATTTTATTATTGATTTTGTTACCCTTTACTCCGCATTGAGATGATCCTTTTTTTATACTGAATTCAATCTCTAAATTGAACTTTGCTATGTATGGAAGTTTTGAAATCATAATGCCATAATCAACAGATTGCATGAGGACTCATGGACCAAGATTACATGACAGCACAAAAATAGTTCTAAACTATTCTATTTGCCACTTCTATGGAAAAGATTTCCAAACAACATGATTGTTTTGCCACAAAAGGATATTTTGAACGCAGCAAATGCTCTTTTTTCTGTGCGCCTTAGGAGCCTTTCAGCATCCTCTTCAGCTTCCATTTGCTCCTTGAGGTAAAGCAGGTCGTCACTGTCCAAAGCTGCAAAACCAATACTTGAGAATTTGAAGAACTATCACAAGAATCAACAAACTGCCATTTCCAATTGTCTAGTTCTATGAAATGAGGCAAGAAATGATTGAAGAGAGTACCGCCTCGCCCATGAAGATAGCCTCCACGTTCTCCAGCAACTTCTTGCATCTGGCCAAGTTATCAGCCCCATAGGACAAGCCAGGATCCCTGTCAGGGCATGTTATCAGAAAAATACTCGAGGAGTTTTACAAAAATTATAAGTTACCAACATAAGACACCTGCCATCAAACGACTAGATGTAGAGCAGTAGCCTACGCTATTTCAGAAATCAGAACCATGCACCTGAATTGACAACTCCATCAGTCTATGTTTTAAGCACTACTCCGTTAATAACCCAATTTGCTGAGAAATGCTATCATCAGATATTAAAGCTTTTCGTTCTGCAAAACAACCAAAAATATCTAACTCCTACTTGTGTGATCTCCATCCTCTTTGTTCTCTACCGTAACTATCCATTCTAGTGTTAAACAGGCTTGCAATTGAACTTTATCACATTTAACAGAGCTAAATACCAGATTCAAAATAATGATTGGTGAGATCAAGATCAGGATTAGGAGAGGCGATGCGCTAACCTTTGCAACCATGCGCTGAAAGGTGACATCTTCATCGTCTGTTTTATCTTTCCCCTTTCCCCATTTCTTATCTACAATCAGATTACAAAAATAAGTCACTGAAAGCTGCACATTGAAAAATGCAAGCAAGCTACAGCTCCAACCAAGCGGGGGAAAATAGTGAAAGCACAACTACCTTTGGGGTCGGTGAGATTGGTGTATTCTCGCACTTCCCTTCCCGCCATTACACCTATCTGAACAACCCAGTTCGTTCCTTTACCTTAATTCTTCCCCACTCCTCGAATCAACTATCAACCAAACGAGAGTAGCTCAATTCCCTAATGCCCGACTCCAAGAAGGAACATGCAGATGAGCCAAAGCTCTTCTTCAGCAGTTGAAGAGAACCTTCCAGAATCTACGACGACATTACAGACAGAAACACGAAGGAGCCGTAATTGTCAGACCATTACAGGAAATGGCGAAGGTCACAGGACAGAAAAGCTTGCGAGTGGGGACGAAGGGAATCGGGACGACGAGATGAACAATTATAACACTGATCGATTGGTTTTGTGGATCAGAAGCAATGTTGCGTGGAGAAAAATTGAAACGGAGAAGCGAACCCACAAATAGGGAATGAGGAACTGCTGCGGTGGAACTTGAATGTGCTATTCTGGGGCTGGATCAGGGAAGTAATTACTGTCGGATTAGGGATTTGTAACTTTCCGGTGCACGGGGACTGATAATACATTTGACAGCAACCAAATAACCAAAAAGTTCCTATCTTGTTTATTTAGAGCCAATTGAGTCAACAACTTCCTTAAAACTATCTGATCTGCCACTTGCCTCTTGCCATGTTAATGGATTCTGTGGTAGCGTGGAAAGGTTAGGGTTGCAAATAAATTGAGTGGAGTCGGGTCGAGTCAAGTCGAGTCGAATCGAGATTTTACTTAATTTGAGTTTGAATTTTTAATAAATGAGTCAAATTCGAATTCTATTTGTTTACAAAAATATTGGATTGTGTTTGACTCTACCTGTTTTTTTTTTTAAATTATGGTTTGATTTTCGAAAAACATCAAGTTGTTTCAGGTACTACTATTTTGTAGTATCATTTGTAGAGATGGATTATCAACACTCATTTCCTTGTCTTTTATCGATAACATTTTGTTTATCTTGTAAGTAAAGATTTATTGAAGAAAATTCATCCATTTCCTTTTTTTCTTTTTAGTATGACTCCCTTCCTTTTGTCTTGTGGATAGGGATGGCAACAAAACCCGAACCCACGGTTACCCACCCGACCCAACCCGGTCAACGCGGGTAAAATCCGTGTTGACGGGTTTTGGGCCGGGTTTGGGTTTAAACCCGTTCACTATTCACCGGGTTGGGTTTGGGTTTAGGTAAACCCGACCCAAGGGTACCCGCCCACACACATATAATTAATTTTCTCGATATATTTAATATTCTAAACAACTAATCTTATTTATATTTGTGGAGACATGTCTAATTTATTCTTTCTAATTGTGTAGAATGAAGTTGGTGTTATTGAGTGGAGAGTGAAGCAGAGAGGGGCCCGGGCACAACAGCAAAATCCCCGGTCGGGGATTATGGCGAGTGACCGGGGATTTCGCCTTTGACTGAAACGGTGCGCTGCGATAATACCCGGTCGAAACCCAAGGTACCCGACCGGGTATTTCGACCGGGTATCGCGACCAGGCAGCTGATATAAGGAAGAAGAAGGCCAACATTGAAAGGGTTCCGAGTTTTTGAGAGAGAAAGCGATACCTAGAGAGAGAAAGCGACGAACCAGAGTTCCCAAGCGCCATAGATCGATCTTCAACACCATTGGAGCCCGGTTTTGAGCTTGGAGAAGTGCGATTAAACGTCCAGGAGCAGGAATCCATCTTCACAGTATGATTTCCGCGTCTGAATCTGCTTTTGCTTCTTTCTCTATGGAGTAGTTTCCCCATTCATCTGGGTATGGGGAACCCTAGATTTGTATGCTAGGTCTGATTGTATGAACCCAAGTACAGAGTTTGTGAATTGATTATATTCGATTGAGGTTTGAATGATTGAATGACTTGAATCCTGATCAAATTCCTGTTGTTTCTGCTTTGACCTAGAATGAGAATATCTGCCTAGGTTGATAGAGTACCCTTAATCGAAGGTGGCGAATTGGTGACTTTAGTCGAGGAGCCAATTCGCTATTCTGTACCGAAGTCAATTCGGTAGTGGAGGTTTGGCTGTTAGGGCCTCAATCTGTTTACTCCGGTGGAGGTTAGTCGCCCGCTAGAGACTCAGATTGAGAGGGTCTGGAGACCTTTAGTCGAGACTTCAGTCTAATTGAGAACCTTCCGCGGTATAACTTTCATGAAAACTGAACTTGGTAAATTGCAATCCGGCTTAACTGCAGTCTAGAGGGAACCATATCCGGGTGACCTCTCTTGACTTGACAACAACCGTTTACTTGCTTTGTGTTTTGTTTGCTTGAGTTGCACTAAAAGTTCACCGCTAAATAACAAGAATCCACTGAGTAGTCATCACATCTAGGACCCTTTTTGACAATAAAACCCAAACCCGCTATACTACGCTTTAGGAAGTGGTTGCACTTGGCCATTTTCTAGAGTGACAGTAGGAGTGAGTCAGGAAGGCAGGCGATTGAGGAGGTCCATCAGGGGACGTGTGGCATGCATGCGGGGGGGGCGCAGCCTTGAGAAGGTATTACTGAGGCAGGGGTACTACTGGCCAACCATCAGGGCGGATGCAACAAGGCATGTGGCCAGCTGCCACCAGTGTCAGATACATGCCAACGACATTCACGTTCCCGCTGCGCCCATGCATGGAAATGTGGGCGCGTGGCCGTTCTCCCAATGGGGCATGGACCTGCTAGGACCATTTCCCAAAGCGCCCGGGCAAATGAAATACCTGATAGTGGCAGTGGACTATTTCTCTAAATGGATCGAAGCTGAGCCTCTGGCGTCCATTACGCAAGCGCAAGTCCGCAAGTTCACAAACAGGAATATATTCACGCGATTTGGTTTGCCGGAGTCTATTGTGACCGACCACGGAAAGCAATTCGACTGCAAGCAATTCGTGGATTTCTGTGATGAGAAAGGGGTGATCCTGCGCTTCTCGTCCGTAGCGTATCCTCAGGCAAATGGGCAGGCGGAGGCCCCTAACAAGAGCATCCTGCACGGGCTCCACACGAGACTTTTGGAGGCGAAGGGCAGATGGGTGGAGGAGCTCCCGAGCGTGTTATGGGCACATCGGAAAACATACAAAGCGGCAACGGGCGAGTCCCCGTTCGCACTTACGTACGGGAGCGAGGCAGTCATCCCAGTGGAATTGCGCATACCAACCTTTAGGATGGCAAGCTTCGAGGCGCAGGACAACGAGGGGGAGCGCCTGCATGACCTGGACATGCTCGAGGAGCGGCGTGATGTTGCCTCCATCCGCCTAGAAGCTATGAAACAGCAAGTGGCGAGATACTATAACAAGAAGATGCGCCCTCACCAGATACGGCGAGGGAGCATGGTATTGAAAAGAGATTTCAGACCCAAAGCCAGTGAGGGAAAGATCGCCCCAAAGTGGAAGGGGCCCTATCGGGTTCGTGAGGTGGTAGGGCCGGCAACGTTTAAGCTGGAACGCATGAGTGGCAAGAGCATTAAACGAACGTGGAACGCGCAGAACCTTCGTGTTTATCATAACAAAGAAGACGAAGAGGTAGTGGGGTGAGTGAGTGGCAAGACCAAGGTGGAGGAGGAGGTAGTTTTATTCAATTATTTCCAAAAGCGCCCTAACTAGATTGCGCTCGTAGTTTTATTTTCGTGTTTCCAAAAGCGCCCTAACTGAATTACGCCCGAAGTTTTATTTTGAAGTGTTTTTCAAAGCGCCCTGAATGTGTTGCGCCCGTAGTTTTGTTTAGCAAGTGTTTTCAAAAGCGCCCTCCAGATTGCGCCCTGTGGTTATGAGTAGTGTGTCCAACTAAATGCGCCCCTCGGTTTGCGCCCTACACACGATAGCAGTTATGCGTGTTAGTACTCAATAAAGCGCCCCAAATTGCGCCCCATACTCGTAAGTGGCTCGGGTCTCACTAAAGCGCCCCAAAATCACGCCCTACTGCAATAAAGCGCCCCACGCAAAGCGCCCTAAATATTGCGCCCCACACTTGTCTGAGTAAAAGAAGTTGTGCATAAAGGTACGAGCAAGGTGTTCAAATGCGAGTTAAGGAAGTAAAGTGTTCAGATTCGAAAAAAAAAACATAACGAACTAGGCTAGGCTCTCATTCCTCCATGTCCTTCATTCTTCCACGTCAACGTCTTCGTCATCCGCCTCCCGGTCATCCGCCTCCTCTTCGTCCGCCTCCAGGTCAGCATTCACGATTTTACCTCCATCACCGGTTGCGGCGCCATTAGCAGGCGAAGTCCCACCAGCAGTGTCCCCCGCGCCATCTCCAGCCGAGGCCGCGGCATCCGAGGCGCCTGCCTGACCCTCCATGGCGGCCACAACATGCTCGATTAGAGCAACCGCGTCGAACACCACGCCGAGATAGTCGGTTTGGAACTTGGCCCTCAGCGTCTCCACGGTCCCGATGATGACATTGGCCTGGAGATTCTTGCCTTGACTCGACTCCGGATAGTCGGCCATCTCCTGTTCCAGCTGCTCGGCGGCCTCTTCCGCTTTCTTCAGTTCATGCTTGTAGTTGTTCCGGGACTTCTTCAGCTTCCGGTTGGCCTTCTCCAGGTCTTCGATGGTTTGGCGGAGCACATCCTTCTCGGCCAACAGGGCGTCGCGCTCTCGCACAAGCGCGACGCTCCCTTCCCGGAGCTTCTTCTCAGTCCCTTCCCACTCGGCCCTATCCATCTCGGCCTGCGCCTTGGACTCCTCTTCGACCTCCGCCGGGGTTCTGACACGTTCGGCCTCCAACTTTGCCTCCAAGTCGGACTTGACCGCTTCCAAGTCGGCTTGCATGCGCTCCGCGGAGACAGCGGCATCCGCTCCTTCCTTGGCAATCTTGGCGATTTCAAGGGTGGTGGCCTCGCACAAAAGCATCATCTGGGGCGCATAATCACGTGAGTTCAACGGGCGTTAGTAACTTGGTGGGGAAATAAAAATGAATTCAAAGTCATGACGTATGCGCTTTGCAACACAGTCCTTACCTGGACACTCATGTTGGTCAATCTTAACTAAGGTTTCGCCGAGATTAAGCCGTCCGGATGCTCAACCACCTCATAATGCGCCCTCGCCATCTGAACAGAGGCGGGGACGTCCTTAGCCGCCCTGACGGGGACGTCCACTGGCACCTTGACGAGCGGGCGCCCAGCTTGGAAGTACGGGGGAATCACCTGGCCAGTGTGCTCCCCAATGGTGGGCTCCACCAAGCTTGGGGGCAAGCCGGTCTCCTTAGCGGTGGCAATCTTCGGCCTCTTCCCCTTATCACGCAGAGTCACGCCCGCCCTCTTCCGAGAACCTGCAGAAGAAGGGGAGGGCGGGGTACTCACTCCAGCGGCGCCCCTGGGCGTGGAGGCGGACGACGGAGTCGAGGAAGAGGAAGCGGGGCGCCCCGATGGAGAACCTTGGCCTCCTGCCTCACCTCCCGATGCCGCCGGCAAGGACGTAGTGACGCGCCTTGATGAGGAAGCGTCTTGAGTAGATGCGCCTCGTCCCCGTTGAGGCTGCACCCTCCTCGGACGGGGCGCCTGAGTGAGGTCGAGCCTTGATCTGATCAGATTGGTCACGGAGGTGAAGTCGG